CCCCTCCCACCCGTACCCTGTGATTCTCCCCACCCACCCCCCCCCCACCCCCCCCCACCCCCACCCCCCCCCCCCCACCCCCCCCCCCCCCCCCCCCCCACCCCCCCCCACCCCCCCACCCACCCCCCACCCCCCCACCCCCCCCCCCCCCCCCCACCCCCCCCCCCCCCCCCACCCCCCCCCCCCCCCCACCCCCCACCCCCCCCCCACCCCCCCCACCCCCCCCCCCCCCCCCCCCCCCCCACCCCCCCCCCCCCCACCCCCCCCCACCCCCCCCCCCCCCCACCCCCCCCCCCCACCCCCCCACCCCCCACCCCCCACCCCCCCCCACCCCACCCCCCCCCCCACCCCCCACCCCCCCACCCCCCCCACCCCCCACCCCCCCCCCCCCCCCCCCCCCCCCCACACCCCCCCCCCACCCCCCCACCCCCCCCCCCCCCCCCCCACCCCCCCCCCCCCCCCCCCCCACCCCCACCCCCCCACCCCCCCCCACCCCACCCCCCACCCCCCCCCCACCCCCCCCACCCCCCCCCCCCCCCCCACCACCCCACCACCCACCCACCCCCCCCACCCCCCCCACCCCCCCCCCCACCCCCCCCACCCCCCACACCCCCCCCCACCCCCCCCCCCCCCCCACCCCCCACCCACCCCCCCCCACCCCCCCCCCACCCACACCCCACCCCCCACCCCCCCACACCCCCACCCCCCCACCCCCCCCACCCACCCCCCCCACCCCACCCCCCCACCCCACCCCCCCCCCCCCCACCCCACCCCCACCCCCCCCCACCCACCCCCCCCACCCACCCCCCCCCCCCACCCACCCCACCCCACCCCCCACCCCCCCCCCACCCCCCCCCCACCCCCCCCCACCACCCACCCCCCACCCCCCCCCCCCCACACCCCCCCCCACCCACCACACCCCCCCACCACACAACCCAGCCCCACCCCACCACCCCCCCCCCCCCACCCACCCCAACACCCACCCCCACCCCCAACAACACAACCCACCCCCACCCCCCACGCCGCCCACTACCCATAGCCACTTAAACGCTCCAACTCCCCATAGCCGCCCCGCATCCTCGCACACGCACGCCACCTCGGCCACCGACACTCCCCCCCGCGCCCCCCCCCCCCCATGCATCCACCCCCCCATTCCCCCTCTGGTTTTAGGGTTGGGTCGCCTTTCCCTCCCCCCCCCCCCCCGTTCCCCACACCTCCCCCCCGCCCCCACACCCGCCGCCCCGTGAGTGTATATTTTGTGTGTGACAGCATTCCCAACGGGGGGATCTATGTCCAATATTCGCGAATGAATGAGTCGGGATTGAGTACGTAAAGGTGCGGGTTTATTTTTAGTATGTACGAACATGCGGTTTGCGGTTGATCCGGATATTGAATTTATTTAAGAACGAGGCGCCCAGTCCCGCCTAGGGCATTGATATAGCGTAGCGAGGTGGCCGATGGTTTACAAGTCGGGATGAAGTCGTTGGCGAGATAATGGAGTGAGGGTTTGCGCGACTTAATAAATGAATCTCGCTTATACCACAATGGCAGTGTGCCGCGCGTCCCTTAAAATAGTGGGTCATGACTTGGAGGATTTGACTGTTTGGATGTTGTTGGGTGGATAAATAAGAACTGTAATTCTTTAAGTGTGTTGGCTTGAACATTCTATTGTTTGTTTGGTTGTGGTACGGGGGTTTATCACTCTCACACCCCCCACCCAGCCCCGATACACAATCACCGGCCCCACGACAGTCCCCGGCCCCCCTTGCACCTTCTAGGTCTGAAAAACCTTTTTGCTAGCCCGACGGGGATCTTCCCCGGTTTGCAGCAATCTACCCCCCACCCATATCGATTTGTGACCCTCCCCCTCCTAATTAAGTGGTTTTCCCCAAAAAAACACTAAGAAATCCACTAAATTACCACCCCCATATTGGCTAACCTAATGGGGCAACGGTTATTCGCTAGCCCTCTAACATCGCCGCCCTCCTTCCGCCCCCACCCCGCGCGCCCCCGCCCGCCCTCGGCACCGTCGCCCGCCGCGCCACCCCCCCTCTCGCCGCCCCCCCCCGATTCCCTCCCCCGCCCACCACCCCCCCCCCCCACCCCCCCCCCCCCCCCCCCCCCCCCCTGCATCAGTATGGAGGTGTGATGAAAAATTCCCCGTTCTGAACCACCCAGTACTGCCGCCATCCCCTCCCCCACTCTGTCTAATGTTTGTACAATGGTAATCCCCCCAAACCCAACAGAAATAACTTCCCCTACCCACACCTCCCCCTATCCCGCACTGCTCTTCAACGGTCAACCCCTATTCACGTTACGACAACGCCTTTGCCCTCAGTGCATCTCACCCCTAGTTCCCCCCTTATAACATATCCCAATTTCAAACATCCATACCCCAAGCTTCATCCTCCATAGACACACAATATACCCACGGATCCCAGAGCCGTTGATCATGCACCCCCCACTTCCCCTAGAATCATCTCACAAACCAGAAATTCCTTGTACACCCCTCCCTGCTTCTATTTGTCATTTTTATTATAGGCTTGTAAAGTTAAATTACACATTGTCATCCCATTCACACTCCTACCCGCAACTCCTAGTATACTTGGGATTTTCGTTTGGACTTTCGATGTGAACCCTATGCTCCCCCCTCCCCCAACGCCCCCCCCGAAGCCTTCCAAGACCCTCACCCGACCCCGCGCCACCTTGTCGGACCTCCGTCTACCCCTATGCCAAACTCTTCCTCCATCCCAACCTACACTTTGCCTATCCTCTGTTACGTGCATAAAAAACCCACGACGATAGCTATTTACCTGCCCCCTGCACCATGTTTCTATTACGTTCGTGATAAGTATAGACCAGTTTTCTCCGTCTCCCTCCGCTATAAATTTCACTACCCCATGGAGCACCGCTGATTCTCTAAAATTGACTCCTACCCCCCCCCCCCCAAGCGTTCTTAATTATCCTTTCATGGGGCTAACGCACCCCACCCCACATGTTAAACCACATAAGCCATTCCCTACTGACATCTGCTGCATCGACTTCGATCACATAAGCCCTACAAATCTCACCTTTCTGCCCTTTCTCCCCTAGCCCATATCCGTCAACATATATTTAATAAACCCCAGCCAACCCGACAACTCAATCAATAACGTATGTTCTATCTGTCTCTTTGTAGGTTTCCAGTGAAATCCTTCCTGCTATTACTTTGAAACAAACCGCCGATGATTCGTCCGAAATACAGAATCCTACAGATTCAATACATTCAAGCATCGCAGCAAATGAGCGCGGGGAGACCTGCTCTGAACACTCGCCATCTTTGGAGATGTCGAGGAGTATTTGTGATAAAGCACATCAACCAGTTATCCAAGAGCAAATGAAAGAACATCTTTCCCCTTACAAAACTTCGAATGGAGGTACTAATCTCCAGATGAGCGCTTCTGGAAATGATCTAAAAGGCCGAACTGTTCTGAACTGCTCAACCTTCAATTTTGTGGATCATGCAAGCGATAGAATGCAAAATGCAGTACCTTCGATTGATGGTGTCATGTCAGACCCACATAACCTGAAGACCACACCGACTGTTAATGAGGCATTTCGTTTGACAAGTACATTAAGGAGCAACCATTCTCCGAGACATTCCGATACCAGTATTCTATCCGCTTCCTGTCCGTCTCTTAGCAAAACAGCGAGAAATGCTCAACCAATTAAAATGGAGTAAGTCACATGTATCTATTCATTCGTTTCATTTCATTTCATTATTGTCCATATGCAGGCCTGGGAGGAAAGTGCTTTGGGACAAAGGGTATCTGAAGAACTAGCCAGTTTTGTGTTCTCAACGGTTTGTAGTCAGATTTCGTGACACCGGCGAGTTACGCTCAGTTAAACTTGCACGAAGGCTGTTCACGCGCAAATATAATGGAGACGGTAGCTTTGTAGACATAGTTTCTTCTTCAAATGTTTACTATTTGTCATGATAAGAAGCATGTTGGTGGATAGCTACCGTTTCAGCCCTAATTCAATTTGTTTCAAATACACACCGCATATTAGCTAGCAGATGATTGTGTACGATGCTAAAAAACAGATGCTGTAAACCTATCTCTAAGCTAATACTACGCAGTTCCAGCCAGCAGATTAACATGGCATGTGCAGTCTCGAGTGGGTTACTGTGCTTGACTCAGGTTGTATCGGAGAATAATCGAAAAACATGCATACAGCAATTCACGGGACATAAAAGTGCCTGCATCCCACGTTCATTTGTGATGGTGCCTTGACAAACTGGTTACTGGCAAAAAGCTTTTAGGTTGGCACTTCATTCTGATAACAGTAAGCGGTGTTTTCCACTGCATCTTCAATAATGATCAAAGAAGTTTAATGTGTCCCCATCTACTGCGTTACCTGCGTCGCAGGCGTACCAAAAATCAGCGTCCCCTGACGGAATTAGTTGCAGCACCCACTCTTCAATATGAATCAGGAATGCCGGATGACGATCAGATCTGAAATTATAAATAAACTTTCCATCGGTATATAAGCCAAGCTTGACCTTTTTGGATATGTCCTGATGCATTCATTTATTAAGCAGATCGTCTCCCTCAAAGCGAACCTCCTCCGCTTCCATCTACTTGTAGCAAAGCTACTGCGCAGCTTTCTATGCCACAAGCTAAAAAGTCCACTTGCTCTTAGTAAATATTCCTGGAAATCCAATCCAAAGTACTGCAGGTACTTCTGATTCCTCGATCAGAGTTTACTAGTCAAAAGGGCTAATGACTTTATTGAAAGCTAATGGCGAATTCAAAAACCTGTAAATACTCATCAATATTAGCAAGCAATGGACAAACCAGTCTACATTTTCTATAAAGTCGAGGTCTGAGCTATAAGACCAGCATCATCATTAGGAACCAGACAGAAACACTCTCTAGTAATGGTTTAGCCTACGTATGCGCTAAGTTTATCCTCGAAGCGATCAGAGAAACTTAGCATTCGGAAAATACGTAATAATTCCGCGTGCACGACACATACATTATGTAAAGGATGGTATGAAGTTGCTCAACAGTACCCCGCTAATAACTTCCTTCGTCATACCAACTCGTCCATGTCCAGAATTCGCGGCCGCAGCGTTTTGCTGCTCCGGTGGACGGGGAAAACTGGAGAACCGCTTGTGGTGATGTAGTAACCTACCGAATGTGTGTTATTCGTCTGATGAAAATTTAGTTTTAGTAAATCTGGAAAGCATCGAAGGAGTTTGGAGTATGGAGGGGAGTTCTAACAAAAGGGTAATCGGGCAGCTGGATGGTGTACACACTGTGTGACCGGGAATGGAAGCTGCGTGCTGACAAGTAGCAAAAGCTGCCTACATAGATCCATTAACAAGTTTGAATGTATTATAAAATCCGTTCCTAATGTGGGTTGAAGTGCATCTGCGATGATAAATATCCAACTTAATTGTCGCCGTAGATCAAAGCTGAGTAATAACGTTCGTTGACCGAAAGATTTAAATTGGTCCCATAAACTGCTGGTAAGCATATCGAGGATGAGGTGCAGTTAACAAATGGGCCGGTAGGATGGTGATGTCAACACCAATGTCAACAAGAAAACGGAAACCGGTTGTCTGCACTAGAACGTTGAGTGGACGGATGCGTTTAACGGAAGCGGCAGTGTTCGGTGAATTTGCGCACTGAATACTTGGAAAGACTGTTGTACCAACAACTAGTTGAAGTGCGCGCTAAAGAAGGGTTTCTTGTAAGAGCAGAAAAACGAGTACTAAAAGTACGGCCTAGCGTCGGTCGGTTTAACCATAGTTTGGCTATCAGTTTAGCTAAATCGTCTAGACATTTGTTAATCGACTTTGGTAGGCTGTGCGTTTCAACGGGGTGGATGTCACTTGTTTTAAGCTGGTTTGCTAAAACCTGGTCAGCGATACTAGCGAGCAGTGTCAAGGGAACACTGTCAGCGTTACTGACTAGCATAGCTTGCACCAGAGTAAGTAAACACTGCTGAGCTAGTTGCCTGAGTAAAGCTTTATCCAGTTTGCGATTGTTTATTACAATATAAAGAAGTCTGAGGTACTGGGAATGAGTACATCCGTCAAGCGATTCTCCGCTAATCAACAGTTCAACACATTTGTGTAGAAACAGCGTTCTGTTGGATGACTGCACTTTCAGCTGCGAATAAGGCTTAACATCATTCGATGAAGACAAAAGATCTCGTAGGTCAGCAAAAACTTATGATGGCAATACGGTTAGCGCATGAGAAAACATGGTTTATGCGTGAGTGAGAATGCTAAGAGCAAACTGTGCATGGATTTGAGTAAATCATATATCAAGGTCATGGAGCCAAAATGGCGGGGGGTTTACAGACACTAGGTAAAAGTTTAATAGTGAGAAGTGTGCCAAATCAGGACGGTTTGATGAAAGAGTCGAAAAAGAAAAAGCAATCTAAAAGTCAGGATAGCAAAATGTGGTCACTAACTATTTGTGTCGCTTTGGTCGAGACTATATATTTTCTCAGGTCGTTGTATCTACAATGTTTTCAAGCTCAACCTTAAAGAAATACATTTCATCCATACATATTTCAGAACAACCTTAAATGCAATCAAATATCATGCTGTGGAGCGCGAGCGCCCCAAAACGCGCCATCCGTCAAGGGACCAATCCCAAATCAATCAATAGCATATCAGACTAGTTCACGACATGGGTTACCAGAGAACACTTGGGAGTGGCTCAGATTGCGTGCGATTTGGTAGGTGCCTACTCGCGCTCGACACTCGTGTTCAGGCATGATTGACTACGATGAAGCTACACGCATGCTAGGGGGCATACTCGTAAAACGTAAGTGGCGCCACCTGGTCTTAGAAGTCACGCGTGATCATTGTGGTTGGCACGGAACCTTCCAGGCATTTACACTTCTATGTGTAATTTGATTGCGCGTTGTGCCCGCACACGTCATCGCTGAACTGTCCTTCTACTGCTAAACACCCACATGACTGAGTCCCAATGAACTGACCATTGGGAATAATGGCATGAATGTTGCTCGCACATATCGTTGTCGAGGAACAACTGGCATGGAATTTGGACTAGTGACACCGTAGGGGCGGTGAGTGTGTGTGGACCGCGGTGTGTTTTGGGGTGCGGATTGCTTACTGAGCCCAATGTTGAAAGGTCTGCGCTTGACGGATGTAACGCAATGAGTGCGCGCGTACGCTGCACGTTGACATCCTCACCTTGGTTGGGTGACGTGCTTGATAGGGTGTCTGTGGTTGTACTCACCTATTGCCCTTGTTACGCCGTTGTTCGACTGAGGAATACTTCATATTGTCGCCTCATGGTTTCCACTGCGGTTGCTGAGACATGTACGTGCCTGAGTGCGTCATCCAACCGTACTTAAACATCATTTGCGTTGTTGCGAAACAGACCGAATTTGGTAGGTCCTTCCAGGGGTGACACACACGAGCAGAAAGTAGATTTCCGTAACACTTCGGGAGGTTATAACTTTTTTCCAGTTCCACGGAATGATCTCAGCTAGGCGTTATTGCTAACCAGCAGTAAAGAGCGGCGTACACGTTGTATTAACAAATTGTCAGATATTTAGCAATACCAGTGTTTCTTCCTCTTTGGATTAGAAGGTTAGAGTCAAACAAACCAATAGTAAACGTGTCTGGGCATGTCTAATGTCAATGAGATTCATATGGATTTTCTGGTGGAAGTGGTGGAAGCGGAGCCTACGATAACTTTGAATGTCTTCCTTTCCTATTGAAAGCGAAGTTCAATGTGGATGTGAGCGTCAGCACATTAATTTGGCAACTAGGGGGTCGCGTCATTACCATGGTTATGTTACATGTTATACCGGAGTCGATGAATACGCTTGAGAATAAGAACCGAAGAAATTCGTATGTTTTGTAGCTCATGTACTTGGAAGCTGAAGGGTTGCAATGATAAATCGAATTCATCATTCAGCGAAAATTTTGCGACTCGCACTTTATTCACCTTCATTGAAGCAAATAAAAGGCATTTGGATTGTTCTCAGTGCACACTTGAAACAAGCCATGCGGCACCAATATTCCTAGATGCTGTGAGGAGATGCAGCTGATGCGCTGAGTAAAAGAGCAGATAGTATCAGTAGCACGAGCCTGCTTTACGGAGCACCGTTGTAAACAATTGTCAGCACACGTCAGTGCGAAGTAGGCAGACGCAATACAACAAATGGATCTGTACACATATGTTGTGTCACCGATATACCTGTTTTTGTCTTTCACCGACATTTATTCTTAACAGCCACTTAGAGTTGTCTTGTGCAATGCAACTGTCCAATTTGGCAGCACTACCAATTATTGTTGGAAAACCGTAACCTGTGAATAGTTACTACTTTGTTTTCACCTTGGCGACGCTACTGTCGCATCTCGCCTGATGATAAATCATAGCCATTGCCATGGCAGATGCAGCGCTCGCTATGTTAGCGGACCACGCGTTACCAGTTGGTTAAATGAGGAACCGAGTATCTTCGATGTCGCGGAAACATTCAGCACACAAGTGCAAACACTGTGGGCATGAGCAGAGACGGTGTTTCGTTGAATGCAGTGTTGAGAAATGCAGATGACCAGGTAGAAGTTATCCAATGAGCTAATTAGATACCGGGCAGTGTATGGTTACTATCAAGGTTCAAACACAACCAACGTTTTTGATGTCAAGCACACTAACTTTAGCAATTACGGTGCAGATGTG